AGAAGATTAAATCAACTGAGTGGTGCATAATTTCTGTCTAAGAAGTGACTCTACTTCTGTCTACATTTTCATACTGTATAAGTCCAGGTGGTTGAAACATGTCAGTAAAATCAAACGCAGATTTAATATATCAAACATTTAGAACAATTTCTCAGTACATTTTATCAGTCATAAAGTCTTAAAAAAACATACACACTATAGAAAGTGGCTTTCCTTCATAATGTCAAGAAATCATTGATCAGCAATAATTAATCTTTATAAAATGAATGCTGTGAGTTCAGCCATGGTCAGATTTACAATCCAATGAAAAAAACAAAACAAAACAAAATAAAAAAATAAATAATGTTGGTTGGTTCCAACCAGCTATCCAGGTTATGATATAAACCCCCCTTATTAAAAAAAAAAAAGAAATTCAAAACTGTGTCATCCTGTCAGTTCCTTATATTCAGTGTGACATTACACTGTTAGCTATGGCTTCATGCTAGCTGCTGAGACTCTACTAGCACAAAGCGACTATCATGCTGCATTCAGGTCTGATGGGCCTCGATCTATTTTTAAAAATTAACAGATGGATAATTTAATGTATTTGTATTTCATGTATTTCCAATTCTCCAGACTGGCTTTTAAACTCTTCTGCCACTGGTATGCCTATAGAGGCACTATTGATTTTCAAGTCACAAGTCTGAAGTCACTGCACTGAAGTCCAGTCCTAAACAAGTCATAATGCGATCTTTACCAAGTGCAATAACATTGAACAACACTGATGAGTGTGAAGGCCAGGTGAAGTCACAAGTCATTGGTCCAAGTCGAGTTCAAAGTCAAAAGTTAAGTCATCAAACTTGTGACTTGAGTCCACACCTCTGGCCATCAGTAACATGTATTTTCCAGTCAGATGCCACATGTTCTGAACTGTAGTGTTCCCTCCATTATAATAACAGACTTCCACTATTTTTAAAAAATCCATTAAAACAGCTTATTCACATTCTTGTACTGACAAATGTAATCCATCATTTTAAATTACACATATATTTTACCAATTACTTTGCCACACTGATAATCATAATGTTAAATACAAATATGTGTACCAGTGTATATTATATGTAATATCTGTTTTCCAGGGATTTTTTAAAACAATGAAAAAATATGCAAAAATATCATAAATCATACCAGTATTGCTTTTAAAACACAAGCACTTCATATACTGCAGTGTCATCCACAGACTCAAGATAGTGGTTTTGTCCTTCCATGACCATTCAAGAGCCAAAACTGCAGAATAACTCACTTAATGAAAATCCTTAATGTTTCCACTAAGCATTATCCTTCTCTACACTTGACTTCACCAGAATTAGTCAGGTCCATCACCAAACCCTGATGAAAAGCTGAGCTGTAAAACTCACAATTTTCTTCATAAAGCAGCATAACATAGAAGCTGCTGTGCTCTATCTGCTGTCACCTCCAGAGCAGTGTCATTATACATTTCCCTAACATCATGTATAAGAAACTGTTAAATACATTTAATTTCAATCAGGATCTGGACAAAAGCTTGCAAAAAGTTTAGCTAGTTGGTTCCCATAACGTTGAAAATATTAAATGTGCATTTCACTTTGCTTTTACTTGTGTGACCATCAAATATATTATAAAGAAATCAATTTGAATTAATGCACCTTTAAGGATTTACATGTATGTTAAATAACTTCACATTTGTGGCATTCACAAGACCAGAATGTTCTCCTAGGTATTGACAGAGTCACGTACAGATGGTCTGACTTTGGAATTACAATGCTATAATGTGAATGAATTTGGAGTTTAAATAGGAGACTGAAATTAACCAAAAATAAAATACACAATGAAAATAAAAAATAATGCAAAATTAATATTAATATTATTAATGTGTTCAGCTTATTATCAGTATCATTTCGTTTCCTTGACAGTGCTGTCATGTTTTTGTCTGACAGCAGGACTTAAAGCTCCGCTGAATGAAATTCCTCCTTGGAAACATTTTTGTGAATGAAACTTTCCACAAACAGAGCTGAACAGGCTGCCTCATATCAGTGCTGATTATAATGACACACAATGGAGGAGACTGAGAGAGGAACAACAGGCAGAGGAGGGTGAACCAGCTGCTGCAAGGCTGCAAAGCTCGGGAGACTGGTGGTGTTCCTGTGGGTGCTGTGACCCTATGGCCACAGAGCAGATTTCTGACCGGATCAATTGAAAGGTACAGAGATGTACAGATTCCTTGAAGGTTTTTTTTCCCTAGTTGTTCCCACTGTGGAGAGAGCGTATGCAACAGCATGCGGCCACCAAGAGAAAAGGCGCTGCAGCCAGTGGCCTTTTTTCCGCGACCATTCCAAGCGGTTCTAGTTGCAAATCTCTGAACTTTTCAGAAAGGTGCTGGTGTTGTTGCTTATTTTCAGGCAACCAATCATATATTAGATGGGGGACTCATCACTAGTAACCAAGACAATTGCAGAGAATCTTGATCTGACCGTATCTATCTTGAGCTTTATGATATGTCAGATAGAAAGAACAACAGAGACAGAGAAGAAATTATTGAAAAGAATGAAAACTATGCTTAGAGTTCTCTACAGCGCTTTACTGTCATTTATGGTTGCACTAGCTTCTCTGTCTCTCTCTTCTGTTTATTAGGCTGAGGACGGGGCTCAACTGCTACACACACACACACACACACACACACACACACACACACACACAGAAAACAGCAATAAAAAGTATTAATGTTAAGAATTTCCATATTTCCACCTGTTTTGCCCACAGTTTTACACAACTATATTGTGCTTCTTAAGCTTATAGCGAAATTGTCAAGATTATGCTGTCATAGAAACAAAACCTAAGTGCAGCATTTTTCTCTCATTGCAAAAGCGCTTCATCTCAGCTCTTCCCAGTATAAGCAACAAAAATCAGGTCTAGTTGAATCTTGACACATTCTTGTTGTTGTCACTGGACAGTGTATGAAGGTCAACTGAGGAGGAGAAAAGCCCCAACGTACCTTTGTCATTTGTTACCCTGGTAAATGCTACTAGTGATATTAGTGAGGGTTAGCCTTGTGTTAAGGTCCCCTGTTGTGTCACTTCCTACAAATATTGACCAGTGTTTGTCCTAATGGTGAACGTGATGCAGCTCCTGTCCAATAGGAAATCAGAATGGCTGTCCCGGCATCTGTGACAGGCTGAGGACAGTGCTTTTCCTCGTTCCTTCACCAATCAGTAGTACCCATCCATCAGTGCATTAGAGCTCATCTTTATGGTTCTACTTTAAGTCTTTTTCACACCTTTGAATAAAAACTAATAACATTACTAATATTTGGTAACACAGTCTATCTCACAGTGCAGTGGCCGATTTGTTTTTCTAATCTTTCAAGTAAGATTTTTGCTATATTTCTTGAAAGACAATCCACTTCTACAATGTTCCATACTGTCCAGACATGAATAGGAACCCAATCACCAATTCCTAGTCTTCAGTGCAGTCTGAGGATTTCTACTGGGTAGCTGGTAGGTGGAGCTATGCAGCCACATGACCAATCAGGTATATGTTGTCATAGAGGTGGCCTACAAAGTCATCCGAGACATTGTGTGCCGCTCGGCGAGTGTTCCTGATAAACTCCCTCTTGGACATTTTGTTTTTGACGTGGGGGCTGGTCAGGTCGATGGACAGCAGGATCAGACTGTAGCACAGCACATATACAGCATCTGCAGAGAGACCACAGTAAGTCATGATCAAATAGGACCGTTTGTTTCTCACAAGCTTTCACACAAAACTAAGTTGTGTGGCACTAAAGACAGAGCACAACTGATCTATCTCTATCGCAGACATATTGGGGTGGGGCCTTTTTTTTTCTTGCTGCATGTCGAAGTGTCCTTGAGCAAGATACTGAACCACAAATTAGTTTTGATACTGGGCATCGGTGTATGAATGTGTGTGACTGAGTTAGTTTCTGTTTGTGATGGCCTCAGTGTGTGAATGGGTGAATGTGACATGTACTGTAAAAGCACTTTGACTGGTCGTAAGACTAGAAAGGCGCTATACAAATACAGTCCATTTACCATATCGGTATCGGCATGTTACCCCAGTGTTTCTCAAACTTTTTACAGCGTGTAGTACCTCAGAACATATAAGGCTATCCAAGCACCACCACTATGACCAACAGACAGCCAGACAATTCACACAGGAAGCAGGTTTATTTCAATAAGGAGATTATTTATTGTTGAATCCTGAATGGAACTGGTTCAAGAGCCAGAGCTATTTTTTGTGGAAAAGGGTTACTCTTGGTCTAGAGATGTTGTAATACAGTTTACAAAAAAAATTACCAATCCGATCCATGTGTGTTAAAAAATATCTAATATATAATAATATACAGTATACATTTGTATACTGTATATTATTATTTTTAACAAGCATATACTGCTAAGCCTGTATTGCTATCATTGTTCTATGGACTGGTTCAGGTACGGCGCTTTGCTATCCTGTGGAGAAAAAAAAAAAAAAGGCAAACGGGACACTGCTGGGAAACAGAAGGGTCCTGTTTCAGGGCTAATAAATTATGTGGTATCAGATCGGTACACAGACATGCATACTCACCACCAGTATACTTATTTTAAATTACATTACACCTACCTTATAGTTTAAGTATAAAGCAATAAATATAAAAAAAAAATATATATATATATATATATATATATATCACTGCAAATTTTATAGTAAGAGTAAGAAAGAAGAATATCTAACTTAGATATTAATAAAGTTATTTGTTTAAGAAAGGATTGGGCACAGAAGTGCTCTCTTTCCAGAGAGGGTTGGGGGGCAGAGTAGCAGTGAAATGAAAAGGCAGCCATCCATCCATCTCTAGCCTTGAGCTCCAAACAATTACACTAATCCTACTAATCATATGAGTAGGTCCAAGAAGTTAACAGTAAGGGATTGGTTTCTGAATGGTCTGCTGACATTAACAAAGCCCTCAGTTGGTAAGTACACAGTCCATTGACGACTGAAGCCAGGGATTACTTGAAAATAAAACCTTTACGGCTTCCCACCTATTTAGTGGTTGGGCTGACGGGTCAAGAGTGTAGTTGCTTCAAAATCTCTTCTAATATCACTGCAGGTTTTGGCCTTCTAGCTGCAGGTTGTGAGCATAGAGATGTCTGCTTAGGGCCAGGATAGACTGGATATTAATGGTCCAAAGAGGACAATTCTGACTAACGATTAAAAACTGTGACCCTAAATATTAAAATCTTATTGCACTGCCTTGTAATATAGTTAAAAACATATTTGATGACATTTAGTGGATAAAGCCTCTTTCATATGGGACAATCCCTGAGCTTTCCTCTATTGCCACCTTCTGTACACAACTGTAATTACAATTTGTGTACACAGTTATGTACAACTGGTGATTTTAGCTTACCACAGATATATTTTTTTGCATTTATGTTGGCCGATAAGTAATATAAATGTATAAGATAGAAATGCCAAAAATATGACAAGACATTTTGATTGACATGCTAAAGTGGATCCTTATCAAAACGGTTTTTTTTATAAAATAAAAAATAAATGTCATCAAATATGTTTTTAACTCTAAAAGTATAATTTGGTATATATAGTTTACATAAAATAATTAATAACTGTAATGCCATGGAATTATCTGTACATTTAGGTAGCCTGATAACTGTGTACTGTTAACCTTGAAAACTTCAACTAGTATACAACATCTGATGGAAAGATTACAATTAAACCTACTTAACTTCTTTCACAATCCATTGCTTCTCATTTCATTATAGTTCCTCTCTTTGACAACCTAATCTTAGACATTCATGATCTCAAAATTATTATTTGATAATATTGAAAGCTTTTATGTTTTAAATTTTAAATATGTCTGATACACAAAACACAAATCTAACATGAATCCAACATATCATCAGCAAAGATAAATCCCAAATGTATGTTTAACATGAATATATCAATCTGTTAATAATTATTATTTGAATAGCTCATTATTGTCCGTTCAGCTAAAATCAGTAGTATTTAATTTTAATTTTACAATAAAGGTGTATGTGTTAGAACAAGAACACAGGCAGACACAGAGCAGACACCCACAGGAGAGACAACCCTCATTACAACATGGTTCCTTTAACTTCACTGTTGTAGAAAAAGGAGACACCCTGCTTATTATGAACATATAAGTCATGAGTTTATTATAAAGATCAGATGTACGTGTGATTAAGAAGGAGCAGAGGAGCAGAATCGCTTTTTGATCGGCACAGAGAAATGTGCTTCTGATATAAACAACAAGGCTTGCATGATCATGGGACATGTACATTGCTACCAGTGGTAGGCGTACTCATAGCGTAGCAAAACTGGAGCAACACTGGAAAGGGATGGAGCTCCAACTTTTTTAAAAATCCACTCTGCGCTCCATCCAAAGTCCTCCCGCTCCTCACTCGCTTGCACTCCGCACCACTCACATGCTCTGTTCCTGATGCTTGGCCATTGTTCTATTAGCTCTTTTGGTTGTCTGAAAGGCTCTGTGAATGTAGATTGTGTTTAGGCCTTCACTGTGAGATTTTTAAGTTTATATGTTAAATAATTATCTAAAATCTAAAACCAACAATTTCATTCAGTTTCATTCACAGAAATGAATGGAATGCTGAGATATAGACCTACTGTACATTACTATTACACCCTTTTAAAATCAATAAGGCCTCATGACCCCCCTTGAATGCCTAGTGGGGGTTGGGAGCCCCAGGTTAGGAAGCAGTGATTTAGACCAATTCTAAAGATTTTATCGGTGTGCTTGTTATTTTCCAGGCCGCGCTGCTGACCCAAACAGCTGACCACTGCTCCAGGGGGTGCTGCAGTGCAGGCGACTATGTTCTCTGAGGACTCTATGTATGAGAAGACATTTCAGTTGCCTTGTGTACATTGACAATTAAGTAATTTTCTTCTAGTTTTTTGGATATGGATTTGAATCGGTACAGTATGTGTTCAGTATATACTGTATGTGTGTGTATCGGTACTAACCAGGACTGAGGCCCAGGTCTCGGACAAGGCCAGGGTTACAGGTACAAAACCTGTGGCTGAACTTGGTGATGAGGGTTTCCAGATACTCTCCTCTCTCCTCCGGCGCATGGATGTGTCTGAAAAAATCTCGCAGTGCGTTGGGGAGGAACTGGTTACTGAAGTTATGGAGGGTCACTAGCTCGTCCAGGACATCCCGTCTGCAGATAAACAAACACAGACTAAATGGCAGAGGTTTTTGTACACAGAAAGTTAAAGTGAATTGTTAGATGTGGCATTCTAATTTCAAAGGAAAAAGGTACCAATACATGTATATTTTATTTCATAGTTGACACACTAAATAAAACCACACCACAGTGAAATAATTAGACCTTTGTATCACATAGATGTATCACACAATACAGCTGTCACATAAGTATCCCCCTGTAAATGTGGTGTGAGTTTTCTTGTGTTAACCTCTCATCCAGGTAAATCCTCAGCATCTTCCAGTTGAGCCGTCTGGTGTAGAAGATGAATTTAGCCAGCTCGGTGGGATGATCCACTAGTATACCTTTAGACATGAAATAATTGATACCCTACACACACAAAGAGAAAGAGAGAATTATATATCTTCTGGGTGTAGGACTAACAGAGTCTTAATTCGGAGGTCACAAAAATGAATGTAGAGTCGGTGTGTAATTATGCTAAAACAATG